AGCGAGCCAACTCATGCAATAGAAGGCAGGTTAGCTTAAAAGAAACACGCGTATGGGAGGGCTAAGTGGCTTACTGATTTGAAACGAAGTCGTGGAAGGCAAAAAAAGTGATTTCGGGTCCTGATTGAGAATGGGACAATCCCAATTTCTACTCGGAACCGATTTAGTGGGTCGACTTAAGGAAATCTGGGAAGGGAAAGGGCTTGCGAGCCCATGTGTCTGTCTGTTGTCGCGGTACGGGCCTCGAGCTGTGCTGTGCTCCGTGTACGTATACTGGGTGAAATCTTGGATATGCACACGGGAACAAGAGCGTATGGCGGTAGACTAGAATAAGAGTGGGCGGATCTGCCGGTTCGGGGGCACTTTACAGATGTGTGAACATTCCATCGTGTTCGATCAGCTCGCTGCATGCATGTCTGTCAGCTATTTATGACAAAGCGCCAGGGAAGTTAAAAGCTAAGCTCAGCCAATGCATACAAGCGTCCGTATTATGTAAACAAGGCAAATCCACAGGCACGAATATGCAAGCACTTGCACGCTAAAAGAAATAAAAATTGACCCTTTCACAGCCTTTTCTGCGTTCCCTAATTGTTCTATCTGCGTCAACCTTTTACACTAATAGCGCTATGTATGTCATAACGAGAATTGGTAACAAAAAAGGAGCGACGGACAGAGGTGACAGTAAGGTTCGAGTGATGAAAGACGCATTTTGTACCATCTTTTCCGGCACAATTGAATTCATGTGCATTATACCATTTCATGCGTTTCTCGTACGCTTAATTCGTTCAGGCTACTACTATGGAGGGACATCTCCATATTAGTATCTGTCAATATTCAAATAACAAATATCGCCCTTTGGTGTTACATAAACGGCAGAAGCGTCGAAATTCGTAGCGTGTATATTATGATTTTATGTCATTATCTCAAAAACCATGGAAGGGTTTTGAGAATAGAAATTAGAAGATCAAACAACAATAGCAATCATTAAGAACCTACCTGGCGGCAAATGTACACCAGTCCAATAACAGATCCTAGCGATATCCTATCCTAAAGGTTTTGACATGAAAAAGGAGAACGTGCATCAATTTAATGAAGTGCATACATTTTGTGCATAGATCATGTTATAACATCCAGGGATCATCGGAGACCACGAAAGACCGCAATTTACCATACAGGCATTGGAAGACTGAATGTTAGCTATGCACAGATTTCTGAGCTCAGATTCCATAGATTGAATCTTAGCTGCCGTTCAGAGGTCAGTTCAATCGAATAATGTAAAAATTACGAACACATCATTCAACTAATCATGGCGTAGTTAATACATCGCTATTACAAGCTGTGTTTTTCGAACGCTAGATATGCAAATCATTTACATCATCGTACACGCAAAAAGGTATAGTAAAGAAGGGTTCCCAAAAAAACCGTGTGAAGTCTGGCATTCCCGCCCCCTATACTCTGAACAAAGCGCTATGAGGGTGAACGGCCTCTTCAGTTATTTCATCTTGAAGGCAGATATTTTGACTCAGTACAAACATAGAGATAAAACACCCATACCCCTAGCCTACGCCCTTGGTGTCTCGCTTATCCGGATGGAGTAGATGATGATGATGATTTCTGCTTTGACATCTCGGCAAGGGTAACTGACCATCGTCATTGCTAAAATATCTGAAGTTATGCTTAGCGGTCAAAATATGGGCCACTGCTGCATTGTTAGTATTGCCAGTGAGAGGCAACAAGGCAAGCAAAAAGTGCTAGCCCGTCTGGAAACTTGGACTCTTGACCATATATAGCATACTCGTATACCTTATTATGAGGGACCACAAGCTGAAGGGATCTCGGTCGAGGCAACCGACGGCAACGTAGTGGCAAACGGCCGTAAACCAGATAGGTGCCAAGAACGGGCTGAGACGGGTAGATTCAATATTACTGTTGGTAACAGACAAATAATTAGTCTTACAGTATAAGATTACCTATAGTCCTTATGTATCCTAAACATAACTAGATCTACATCGGTCATACGGTCAAAATTGTATAGCACAAGATATAACGTAAAGTTGGGCTTATGGGCCGTTCTACATCTAGTCGTAGTCGACAAACCTGCAAAGCTGCGACACGAGTTAAATATCATGTTGAAGTTACGTTAACTACTTCAACGCTTCAGGTACTCTGACAGAAACGCTTGCTTAAACAAAACTTCTCTATAAATATTGTATATAGCAGATTTTGCTTTGACGGACGCGCGCAGCAATTTCACTTCAAGTTACGCAAATTGATGGGATATCGAACGTTCTAGATGCCGGCTGGTGCGTAACGTGCGTGATCGTATCGCCCCTTCATTTAGCTCAGCAAATATTACATATAACATTGGCTATTGGAATATTTAGCTTGAGTTCAAACGTATATATGGACGTACAGCTAATTAAAGGAATCGAACAAGTTATGATCTTATCAGCAATGTTTGCGAGTTACTAGAACGAACGAGAGACGCTGCAGAAATGATAATGATGATTCGATCTTATCGCATGTCTATACCTTTTTAAGCCTTAAGGCAGATAGATGGCTTTTATGACACAATTATGCCAAGAGCGTTACATGTGACTTGAGAGAGGTCAATGCTAGTTCCAGTTACGAACCGTACGCGTAAACTGTTCACTGGCTGAATAATTTTATAGCTCGATCCCTTTGCAGCAGACTATTGTCAAGCCATCACGCGCCGATTTGCTAATTGCGTTTTTTTTTTCTTTTAATGTAATTTGATTTTTGCATTTACTGCCTTACAGATTCTGCAAGATTATTCTCTTCCATAGTTCCGTTCTACTAAAGACATAGGCAGATACTTAGCTGCGTGTCTCGAGTGCATTTAATACCATTATGACATTGCCGTCTATTTGTATCGAGATATTTATAAATTCTTCTATTAACCAGGCACAAAGTCGAAAAAAACCAACACTTCTTTGATTTGTAGTTAGTTTTAGATAGTAAGGGTGCTGTTCGACTAGACTTAACATATACCCCACGTGCCAGTCGCGGCGTATCATATCGCTATAGAATTTTCGCGATTACTACTGCTCATCCGAACGCACCTGAACTGTGTCCGCTTAGTAGTTACGATTTTTACGTAGTAACAACTGCTCGACGACAAGAGTCAAGTAAACAACAACTATCAGCGTTTCGATATATTGGGAAGCTTGTAGTATTTTGCATCAGCTATTAAAGCTACTTAGAGCCTTCTACTGTTTTCGGAACATCAGTCGACAGCCGGCCAGCTGTTTCCCGATGCAATAGTTAACAGGCCTGACTTCTTCATGCTTAGTTTTAACAGCGGGACCGAAAATCGTCCATTCTCTTCTGCTCAATAGCCTTCTTACTATAGTGCGAGGATCTTTAGTCTATGGTGAATAGTAGGAATAAAGCAGTGAAGCTTTTGTCGGAAAGCTTTGCCGATCGAAACGGCAGGTGGATCTCGTGTAGGGTTTGCTTGTGTTGGCCCTGTTCCAGCTGCCGCTCAAAAGCCTTTTGCCCTTTCATCGGTACAATTCCAGTCTATTCGAGACGAGTCAACAGGATCGCTCCTTTTACTACTATCGTAAGCGATACTTCTCACACTTAGCACTCTTACTATCCACACACACTTTCGCATTCGAGCACGGTTTCGTCCAACTACGTCGAAACGGCTACGCAATAGCTCGTTCGCCCCCATGGCGACACCGAACTGATTGCGCACTTGTGGTCAAATAGACGTACTGCGACTGACGAACTCGACGGCGCGTACTCTCGGGCCGTTGCCGCCACTTCGTTTACTCATCATCTAATAAATTGGACAATACAGACGCAAGGGGACGCGGATAATGATAACGAGCTGCCTACCCTGGCCTTCTCCCGGAAAACCGCTAGTCCTAAGTGAGTCACCAATCCAAAGCTTTCTCGCTTTCTTCGAACGCGTCCATTCAACTGCGAGAAAGATCTCAGCTCGTTCCTATGGGTGCTAGATCACTTGACAATAGTTTCGTGCTTGCTCGATGATATAAGCATACTGCACTCTCAAGGAGAGGCCTGTAATGCGTTTGTTCTCGTTATGTCGGGGATTTCTGTCTAAAAGCTTCTTACGTCAGCAGCACTAGTATAGTTTCAGCAGTGAGACTTCGAAAATATACCTAGAGGTTAGCACAACGTAGGCTACAAACTATAAACATAGAATGGCTAATAGGGAGATTGGCAGCGGGGATTCAGTTTCCAACTGCTCTTATAATGATATTTACGTTCTATATGGTATCTCAGCAGTCAGTAAGGCTGACTCTCAGCATTTACTTTTTGCGTAGGAAAGCACTTTGAGTCTAGACTTTGTAGTATTACTAGCAAGAGAGGTCCCACCGCATACGTAGGTGACCGCTGGAACTTAGTTTTCCGCCGAAACCTGCGAAGGGAAGGTTTGCATTGCGGAGCGTCATGTGACGTTTTTTTAATTAGATGCTGTCTACCTGTGTGCCTTACTGTGCTAGCCTCGCCTTTTCTATAACAAACCTATAAAAAGAAATGGCAATAATGTGTCGTAATATCGATTTGCCAGCGCTTGAATTCGAATCAGCGATGTCCGCCCGTTATACATTAGCCGCCGAGACTACGTTGTACCCCTACGTACCATATGAGAGTGGAACATTGCTATTATTGTTGCATGAGTGTTTGATTTTCATATGTAACAAGGCAGATCAAACGTGGACTAACGATGAGCGCCTTGATAAACAATAAACAAGTGCTCAACTCAAGTAATTACAGACAGCCGACCGTAGTTTATTTCATTTAAAAATTTGGTATTTATCATCTTACAGCTAATACTACAAACTGTTGCTACAAAAGCACACACCTTACGTGACGTCATTGCAATTTGTCTTCAGACCTCTTTTCCTCAATATATTATCTTAGCCAAATCTCGGTCATACAGGTTATATGGACAATAATATAGGTGAATATGCTATCGTCCGTGAAATGAAAAGTAAACTCACCAGTGTTTACCAGACGGAACGTGCTCTGGTTGTGGTCAAAGATGACGCGGCCTGCAGACGGTGCGGCCACATCAAACAGTGAATACTCACGCGATTCCTCGCGCGAACCTCTGCTTCCGCGTGATGTATGAATCAGTGGCGCGTGATGTGGGCCACCGATGCTGCCTGTCGCGTTGCCGGTCGAACGCAACAATGGACGCTCGCGGGTATGTGATTCGCGCGAAGGGTCGTAGGATTCGCGGACCTCCTCATGAATCGTCCGTAAATCGCGCATATTGTTGCGAGCCTCGCCGACCGTCGCGAACAGCGGGTTTGATCCACCCGACGACATCGTCTGCTGCCACTAACGACAAAACGGACTATAAACTGTCCGAACTATTCAATAAGTAGCGGCGGTGGCAGCAGCAGCCGCCGCCGCCGCCGTCGTCGTCGAAAAGCGTTTAAAGAAAGCAAGGCAACTGCTCACACATCTGACCCGGTTACGGAACAGTGGCGACTCCAAATTCGTTTTTCTGCCGATGTCGTCAGCCCAGAAAGTCGTCTCAGTGTGTACATATATCAAGGAGCTGCCTTATCGGTTTAGCTCATGTTTTAGTTTAGTCATTTCTGTTTTACTTGACACTTTTGATTTGTTCGATCGAACTTTGTTGTTTTTACAATTGTCTGCCGTTACAACAACCCTGACGGCGGGTCCGAGTCGGTGGGGAGGAAACGATACGGCGGCGTATGGGCTGCCTGCTGCTATGCTTCAGCCGTTGCGGTGCTGTAACATCAAGTCAGGTTTCGCAGTTGCTGGCTTTCCAGAATCGAGAAGTCTGATGGGAGTAACAGGTGATCGTGTAGCTTTTCCTCACTACGACTGATCTATTGTGACTCACTGTTAGCGTACAGGTGATGTAGCAGAACGGTGCTGATGAAGTACTCGACATCGACCTGTGCTTGCTGTTACAGACGAATAACAACGCACATGATCGAGTATGATGCCTGCCTGCTAACGCTGATTTATGGCCTGAATGAATCAGTCAGAGGCATTAGTGGCTGGGTCGGCTAGCTTGTGGGAATTCGGCCATTCTATATATTAACCGAGTGGTGGCGTATAGGTGCCTTTCTTGAGAGTAGAGGATGATACACATTCGATGATGGCCAACGGCGGGTGCCCCGGCCGGATTTTCACTCGCTAATCGAAAATACTTCAGGGACGACCGGAGGCAACCGGATTGTTAGGTAGACCGCAGTAGCTGGCTGTTGCTTCGGCTGATGTGGCCTGGTGGTTATGTCATTTACTGCGGTTCCTGTTAGACTACTTTCAGTACCACCGCCGTTGTGGGCGATATATTGTGGTTCTAGATGATCTGATGTTAACTAGGATTTGCGCATAGGACGACAGTAGTAGTAGTAGGATGCATGCTAACGCTTCATCGTGATCCAATAGCCCATTGCACTGGATGGAAAAGATACACAACCGTTGGTTGACAGAGGGTTAATTCATCTTGTGGATTGACTCTGTGCTTGAATCAACCGAAACAATACTATAAATAGTCCCAAGTTGATGGCGCGTGGGAGCGAACAGGGCGTAGACGTTTCTGCTGTCGAAAGGGCAGCAGAATTGATTTTTGTTGTTGACAGTACACCCTACTTTGGTTTGATAATGTTAATATTAGGCTCGCCGTTGTATTTGTCGATTAGCCGTGTTTCTGTGTTGATGCTGCGGATGGTTACTGTTGCTGCTATTAGAATTGTTGTTGTTACCATCGTTTTTAACCTTAAGGTTTGGCTAAAAAGGCACCATGAAGGAAGCACATGCGAAAATCTTGAGCAGGGTGAAGGTGAGGTTAGCTGGCGATGAACTCAGCCACAAACAGCTCGTACTAGCTTTGCGCTGAAGGTCGAAGCTATTTTCCTTTTTTTTTTCGTTGACTATATTTTTCACCCTCGGAGAAGTTCGCGAGATTGTGTATATTCTTTACTTTGAACTGATGACATTTCGAGTGACTTTTTGTCTAGCTCTTATTATTTCTATTCTCTTTTAATCAACAAACCTGCTACTAAGAGCAGTAGGACGTTAGTGTAATTAGCGACACACTTTGCTTAATAACATTGTCGTCACCATTAGCGCCATATATATATATATATATATATATATATGTGTGTATATATTCTTCTTTGGCATAATTAAAATAATTGTCGATAGCTATGATATTTCCTTTCGTATCAGCTGCTGTATCCCACCCTCGGCCTTATCTCCATATTATCACATAAAATCATTTATGGCCATCGAGTTTCCCGTTGAAACTAATGGTCGTCTACCACTAATAATTTAGTCGTGCTATCAATACGCTACGTCGTTTGCATTGTCAGATGCAGATTTGGATTGATACTCTTAATCTTGGCCCAATCGTGACCAAGTGCTACTCCTACAACATGCGCCGCAGTAAATTTATGTGGTTAAGAAATTCAAAAGATAATGATGATACACATGACAATGCGTCGCGTCATACGGATGCAAATACGGCCGTTCGAACTTGTTGTTATTGCTGCCGCAATAGGCGTCTTCGTTGGCAGCATCGTTGTGGTCGGGGGCATCTCTTGTGCCACTCGAAGCCGGTGGCAGCTGTAGCATCAGTATCAATGAACAGCCCCTGGTCCGGTTCCGTCGTGGCTAATCCACTCTTCGCCGTTCGACTATTCGCTCTTTTTGCTGAGATTTCGACACGAGAAGCAGCGGCGCTGTAAAGCTGAGGATGGACCAAACGGAGAATGAAGACCACTGCAAGAACGCGCTTTACTGATTAAAGGGCCCAAGCGGTGGCCGAGGCCACCGGCAGATCCACTATCATTGTAGCCGCTGGACGAATGCGCCAAACAGGACGACGGTTGGGCCTGAATTGTTTTGTATTCTTTTTCACCGAACGACAACGTCCAGACATAGGGAGTCTGAATGAACTTTTCGGGGTGAAATGCTTCGATAATATGTTGTCTATATGTGGCGTACTGAATCAACTTTTTACAATTGCAATGTAAAGGATAGGGTTCCTAGCACAACGGCGAAAGACGCAAGCTACTACAGTCTTGTTTCTATTGGCAGCAAACAACTACCAACGTCTTATAATCTAGTAACGGTAATTACCGACATAATGAACCTCATCAGCGGGCAAAAAGACTTACAACCTTCGAACGGTCTTCTCGGGTAAATGCCGGTCGATGATGCTGCCATCTTGCTCAGTGTGATAGAAAATAATGACAGCTTCAAACAAATCGGCTGACAAAAAAACTCAAATCTTTGCAGGAACCTTAGCTTTTCTGCAGGTATCTGTGCTTCGCGGGTGACACGCTCCGCCACCGAAGTACGGCACACGTTGGTATATGTTGTTGCTTGCTAGATAGACATTATTCATTATTCGATATGTAACATAGCATAATAATATTATTATCATTATTGTTACTGTTATGCGCTTCTATACAAGTCCAAGGAGATCTTTTTTTACGTTTTCCTCTTCGTAATTGTTTTCCTATTCGTTTCCAGTAACACTAGATTCTTCTTCGTTGGCTGGAAAATGCGCCGTGGAGCATAAACTGTCGCTTTACGTATGACGCACCGTCGACGCGAGCTAGAGGAAGAGCGAATGGGTTATCATTAGTTCAATCTGGGCAGGTGGAATTCGTTGAAGATCGCAGCGAAAATTAACTGAAGGAAGAAAATGGGCATTAGCTAAGCTGATTCGTAGGCGGGTGACGACAGACGACATAAGGGCTGAACAGGGACTGATGACCGCTAGATGGAGTTTACTTAATGGTCGAATTTTTATTTGTTTCGACTGACTGGCACAATTGCTGTGAACTAGCTTTACTATATTTTTTAGCTTTCCATTTTCCTGATAACGATGTGTTTTGCTGCTTCATACGTAGAAAATGGACGTAGATACGCGGACAAAGGTTTCGGCTTATACGCTGTGAACTGATAACATCTGCAGGAGCCCACTAACAACGACACTGTGCTTACTATGATTAATATAGTATTATCAACATAAATGTTCTTTTTACACACATTATTCACTAAAGCCTTCACGGAATGGCTGGGCTAAGGAAATTGGATGCGGGTAAAGTAACCGTAGGTAGTTGAATCGATGAATATGATCAATATGCCTTGTAGAAGAATGAAATCATATATCGTCTGGTGGTGAGTTGATGAAAACATAAAGTTATTGAAGTTGATGTCGTTATTGCTCTGGTTACGGCTCTGCTAGTTCCAGGGCGTTACAACTGATGATTTTGAAAGGTCGTACAAAAGTTAGAAGCTACAGAAAAGGCATAAACGGGCCGCGTCGCCGCCTCACTTGGGCCCTCTTCTCCGGGTAAACTCTAGTCTGTTAGCAGCCTTAGTCCAGCAGTATGTAGTGTCCGTCACTAAATAATAGCAGTCCAGAAGACATAAACACGTAAGAAGCATAGACGACGATGAATGATTTACTCGCACAGGGCACTGGGACCTGGATCAACTGACTGCTCTGAAACCGTAGATAATCGGCCTAAAGCGAAGGACAAAAGGTAGTAACCTACAGAATATTCGAATTGCAACATCCGCTCATTGTCTTCACTTATTACTACGATTTCTACAATGGTGGAAATCTGTGGCCCGTCTTCTCGGCAGAATGTATTTTCCTTTTGGCGATTTTTTTGTTTCAGTGAAATGTTTATGCGATCATCGATCACCAAATCACTGTCCTCGAAACGGAGCTGCTGGCTATACTGGTTATCATCGGGCCCACGAGTCGATTTCATTTTATGCACTGTGTAAATGGCGTCTTATGTCATTCATCAATGCTGTAATGCTTGTCAAACGTATGCGATGTTAGTAGGTTACGGGGATTGAAAGAGAGAACGGTTCGGATTGAAGAGCACAGGATACAGCAGTCAGCGCGTGTCGTTCTGCTTCCAGACGCCACTCCGTTTACTTGTTTCAAAATATTTGGCAGCTTAACCCAACCCCTTGGTCCCGTTGACGACAGCAGGCTCTAGCATTAACAAAGATCGACAAATAAACATAGAACGCTGTCACCTGTCTGCCGTCGACCGGTGGATAGATCGAAAGATGTCAAAGACATGGTACCGCTGGTGTACACATCAAACAAACACGAATTCGGTGATAACTTCCCAGACACGTAACAGCACACAAAAAGCATAGAACAACGGATTGTTTAGTCTCGTCGTTATCGTCGTCGTCACTTGAACGAATTAGGTAATGGCAACTATAAGGTGGTCGTAGCGAAGCTTGGAACACATGTTGAATTCGGCTGCTCTCTTTGGGAGGTCGTCGTTTGGGCGGAGAAGGAGCTGGGATAACTCGCTTCTTGGTTCTTCGAAACGGCGTGAACTTGCACAGCACGCACCGGCTGTGGCGGTCGCCGGCGCCGGGCAACAACGAGAGAGTTCCGGAGTGAGTGGGGGCTGCACGTCCGAAGGCGAGGGACCTCGTTGTAGGAGAGAACGCAATAAACGGAGGAGGGTATGAGACGAAATCATAGAGCAACCGACCGCCTCGAAGGGACACCGCGTTGCGTTGAGGGCCATCACGATATGGTGGAAGGAACGGACGGACTGGGCGAACAATTTCGTCGGTCTGATGGAGGACAGAGGATCGAGCAGCAGCATCAGCCGACAGCACGAAGAAGACCTCGGAATATAGGTACGTTGAGATAATAGATGTCAACGGCTACCGACGGACAGACAAGATGCATAGAATAGAAAACATCTACAGTTCAGTGGAGATGATGAAGACTCAGGCGGTGGTAGTGACGACTAAGAAAAACAGGAATCGATTACATGCAAAAACTAACCAAAACAGCCGGGGCTATACATTTACGTCTCTATATTATGTCAAAAGATCGGAATGAAAACTATAAATAAACGTCACATATTTAGCATAGCGATACCACAGACGCATCGGGAAGGTTATGTCAAAGCTGTCTATAAGGACTTGAAATTTAAGCAGACCTTTCTTAGGCGAAATGTTCGTTAGGGAGGTATCTGATTGAAGTCAAATTAAATAAGGTTGACATCAGCAATCCACCCAGAACAGCCGCTATCAATAAAATAGGTGTTAAAAATTTTGAAGATGTTCTTTAGAAGGACAAAAAAATTAATTAATGCAGGACCATTTGGTGGAATACCCTGACATATCCACATCAAAGAACTGGGCGGAAATTGATTGCGTTCTTTGTTTCAACTTTAATAATAAGAATCATAACAGAGACTCGTTCCAATGACAGCAGACAACCAATGACAAACAGTTGAAAGTTTTCAACTTATTTCTACATAGATGTACGTACGTGCGTAGAGATTACCTGAATAGATAGTGGTATAGCATTGGAACAGAAAGCTTAGTCTCCAGCGTGAGCATATTTGTAGCTGCGTCTACTAGCTGTAAGTAGTTGTAGATTGTTACTCTTCAAGCATATACGTAATTTGCGTATACAATACGGAGGAAAGGGGCAAAAAGTGGATATCGCGGTAAAGGGATCGCTATTATATGGTAATCGTAAGCGCAAATCGATCCCTACAAATAGCGGCCTATTCGTGCGTAAAACTGTTACAGATGCTTGACCGTAATCTGGCTTAGCACCAAGTACCTTCCAGATTGACTCCAAAGGTTATACATTTATTTATGTTTAGTAAAATAAAAATACACAATAGTAAATCAAGCCGGCAAGTGAATAGTATATGAAAAAAGGCCCCGCATTACTCAGGAGCTATTCATGATTGTTGCCATGAATATCAATATTTGGTAAAATTGTTGTATGACAATAAAATACTAACACGCTTCTAAAAATACTTTCTTTTTCGTTACGTACATATGTTTTTGCACATATAAAGTTATTAATTTGATGGGTAAAAACTTCAGGCTGTAATACTCGCTACGACCTAGCCGTTACGCACAATATCATATCACAAATCTAGATCCTGGTCCTGTAGATTCCCTTTTTGGAAGCGCCTCGATATCGAAAATTCAGCGGTGTAACGGCGAGTGCCTTGCGGAAAACTACGCCGTTTCCCTGAATAACTTCAGCTTTTTAAGTGCGCAGTAGTAAGTTGCAGTTAAAACCAAATATTGTCTAAGTTAAGCTCATCCTATTTCGGCAGCAAGCGTTCAATCCGAGAGAAACTAAGTTTTCGATGTTACTTGACATGAAGCTATCAACGACTTTTCTATGCGTACTCCCCGTGAGTCTTTAACGCATGGAGCAACGTACCTAGTGATCTTAAAATGAAGCTCTCAGAATGTACAGCATGCCTATCGTGTGGTGTATAACACTCACCTGGTATCTTGGAGCAGCCACTTTTGTTTCCATGAGCTTAAACTTTAATTCGATGACGCAACGGCATTTTTTCCGTTTCTGTGAATGGTATCTCGTCTGTATTGGCGAATCAGTTGTAACGCCAACATCTCAATCAAATTGATCATAAATAATAGACTTATTTCCTTACTTTATTTTTTAATAGTAAGCTTTGTATCACTCTTCCATTGATTGTAAGTCGACTATTGCCTTCTCGTTCGAAGTCTGCCTGTGCGTGCATACGTGCACTGATACCGGTTAAGTCTCAAGGTCAGTTCTACGGACCCTAAGCAGGTACAATATAATACGACGTTTCCCAATTATCCGTTTATGCCACAGATAACTTCGTTTCTCCTCGATGGTATAAGATTGCCGAATTTTGTAAAAGGTAAATATCTAGGAAAGGGAATGATGCATAGAAAGCTAGCGTCTATATTAGGTTGCTAAGCCTCGCTGAATAAAATTTAAGACATCTAAATTTTGAATCGTATATAAAACGGGGTTTGGTCTCGATAAAAATATGATATACACACTGTTTGCAAGTCCTTTAGTAGCTACCGACTACTAAAGCATAAAGAAGCAGGAGCCAGATGTACAGCATGTTGTACGCTCCATTGTTCTGGCAGACAACCGGCTTACACAGTCACTCTTCGGTGGTGTCGGGGGGAAGGAGGGACTAAATTAGACACGCAATTGAACTGGATGAGTTTCCGTTCGATTAATTTGTCGAAATCTCTTTTTCCGTTTTTTCCACCGTTTCAAAGTATTATAAACAATAGGACACTGACTTTCGAATCACTTTTGTTACTATGTCAAATTTTCACAGACGCTATTGCTCAATTTGCGTCTGCCCCAACAAAACCTCACAAAGAAGTACATAACCACTGAGGACGAGATACTATTATCTACCTAGAAGGATTCCATTTAAAATATAGGTCGACGATATAGCCTTTATCTATTGTCGGTCTTCTGCCGACAATACACGTTTAAGAGAAACGCCTTTGTATTGCGTACGTAACAAAAAACCTGAACGATATGTTTTTAGTGTTTACACAGTGAAGCCATTACGTTGGCTGATTCTTAGCAGCCACTTGAGATTCTTAATATTATTCGTAGTAATTTCGTTATCGATGGCTTAATAGAGAAAACTGATGGTAGGATGCGCCACCGCCGCCATCCCCCTGTTATTGCTCTCTAAAACATAGGAACAACCCAGATGACGCTGGGTTAAGTTTGGAGAATATGGGAGTCGAATGCTTGCTTCTGTTGTCTCTAATTTATGCCGTAATTGAAGCGTTGCGATGGGGCCGCACGCTATCCTATAATGACTATAAGTTCCATGACACTTTTCAGATAGACACCTAGCAGTATTTATCGTTCCCTATCAGGCGGTATTTCGTAATAACAAATGCCCCTGATATTCTCTGCGAACGTGAGCATCATGGTAGGTGCTAATTTAGTCGGCACTATTACCGAAGTCTCTCTTTTTCTGTATTATTTTGCTTGATTTTTTTTTTTTCGGTGAGTAGCACAAACTGACACACATTTTGCCTACGGTAACTTTTAACATGTTTAATTTTTGTCGGTAATAGTTGAGCAAATTGCAATATTTAATTAACTCCACCGGTACTCTCGCCTTAGGGAAACAAGAACAGAATTACTAAACGTTGATTTTAAGCACTAAACGGTATATCTGCTTCTAAACTTGTTGTTTTGGAGTGACACTTGACAAATCATTTAGCTTCTAGTGGTAGATAAACTAGGTTCGATTATGGCATACAGTTTAGAAGTTAATCACGCTCTTCGACCCATTATGTAACTTTAAACAAGTTAACAGATACAGTAATAAAGAAACCTATGTGAAAGTTTGTTGACAAAATTGTGTCAATGCCTCATGATAGCTTCTTTCCAGTCCGTTACGATTAGTCGTCGTGGCGGTCGGATGGTAACGTATTTACCTACCTGGAAACACTCGAAATACCTCGAGTGGGAACTGAGTTTAGACGCACGTCGGTTTCTAATGGAAGCCAGCTTTCTGGAGCAATGCTTAATGGCCGTAGCAAATTGATTATGATTAACTTTTTTGACGAAATAAAAAAAAAAACGTATTGTCAAGAGAACGCAGAAAATACGTGTTAGCATGAGCAGTGTGCGCTTATTAAATGAAATTAGTTACGTTTTTATGACCGAAGAGGAACGAAGTGATCATGACCCTTTTTCTTGAAAGCAAACGCCATTTTTAAATAGAAATACACTCCTTTTGCAGTTGTTAAATATTTAGAATATATATTATAAATAGTGGAAATATTTGAAGATTGACAAAAAAAACTTTATTTTTTTCATTTCAAAATCGATATTTTACGCAGTATTATTAAATAAACTAAGTATTTTGCATAGTGAAACAGGATAGGTTAGTTCGAATAGAAACAAACAATCGACAATTCTGTAGCCATTGATGTTATCAACAGCTCTTTTCAATCTCGAAGTGCTGAAAAGTACCAGTTTTTACAAAAACAAGATCTTGTGATCTAATTAACCAACTAACTAACTGAGAAAATAGTTAAGTAAAACTTACAACAGGTAACGAAAATGAACAAACATTCTGAGTTGATATCAACTTCACTTTGAACGGCCCTGAATACGTTATCTATTAACTTTACAAATACAATTATTATATTTCTATTAAATTTATTCTGCAGGTAAGTTATATCGAACCTCTTTGGTAGATACAGGCTGGCTTGGCATAGCTTTTGAATTTAATGTGTATATATATTTGTCTATAATTTGAAATAAACTCACATAGCGACTTAATTGACTGTCTTTATTTGATCTTGTTCTTCGTGAGACCAGGAGTAGTCGAACGTGTCACATCGTTAGCCGCCCAGGGGCCGGATCGGTACATATAATTACTGCTGCCCTTGTTATAATAAAATAGTCGGCTATGTACGAAGACCACTGTGTGTACGAACAATCGCGTGGCGAGCTAAATCAGCGGCCTGATTGCATGGATGAATTCACAAAAAAATCTCTTG